CATTTATCGCGCGATAATTTCCATTTATCGCGCGATAATTTCCATTTATCGCGCGATAATCTCCATTTATCGCGCGATAATCTTCATTTATCGCGCGATAATTTTTCATTTATCGCGCGATAATTTCCATTTATCGCGCGATAAAAAAAATGTGTCATGTCCCCTATGGGCCACCGTAAGATGCTGAAACAACAAAACAAAAAAAAACGGCAAACTGCCAAGTCAAAATTAATAAGCTTCCTGCTGCGATGAGACAAACAACCTCCGAGTTTTATAGAGCCGAATCGGCTAAGACTCGAATACGCCAGAAACTGACAACTCGGAAGTTACAGAAACATAGCAATTCAGAAATGAGAAGTTAGAATGAAGAGCAAGTTTGAAATAGATAAAGCAAAGAAATGGAAATAATTACTGAAAAGCTGCAAGGATACATTTATTATATTATAGACTTGCTTAGTTTATTCCTTATTACGGATCCAGGTTCGAGGCGCTTCAGTGCTTCATAGTATGTGATTTCTGTTTTAGGTCTTTCGTCACGCGTGCACCCTGATGACTGTATCAGCTACCAAGGAAATAAATATTTCAAACTTCACCGTCAGAAAGAGAGTAACAAATCGTTACCTTTGGACTGTTGTTGAGAAACTCTGGAGACGCATCAAAACAAATTAGCGTCCGACCAATTAGATAGTAGTTTCGGTTATCACGTGAAGAAAGTAAACCCCTTCCCCATCGATAAACCTTCAGATAAACCACAACCTTACATAGTTGCTCGGTTAGCAGAGAAGCGTCAAGGGCGATCGGGTTAAGGTAAGTGTGAATAGTGGTTTTGTCGCGTTAACGAAGTTCGAATAAGGAAGGGTAAGAAGCACAAAAAGAAGAAGACAGCCCTGTACCGTAGGTGTATAGTATGACAATGGAAACAATTAATTAAGTCAAAGATTACCGTAGCGCGAACGATTTTTGACTTCTCAGCCCAGGTCAAAGATTTAGAAAACGCTTTGTTCATCGATCGAGCAGGATCACCTGGTATAATTTCATTACAGT